GATTTTATGTTTCTAACATTCCAGCATATTGTATATGTTTTAAAATTTTTCGTTACCATATTTTTTAATAAACAATTATTTACTCGTACTTATTAATTACTCTTGAACAAATCACAATGAACATTATACTTAAACTTGTTGGAACTCGTGTGATTTCGACAAACAGCTTTATTTAAGCAACTTTTTATTCATTTTAATAGAAGCGTATCGTCTCTATTTCATGTTATCGTCTGCTTAATAGTCACACCACCCGCGCCTGTCTGTTTATGTTTATTAAGCAGTTTATTAATAAAATTTTCTCAAATTTTCACTTTAAATGAGTTAACGTCCACTTGAAAGCTTTAAAGCGGTGAAATGGTTTACCTGTACACATCATTCTAATTTTTCTTCAAAAATAACTTACTCTGTTTCGACGATTTTATCGACTATTTTCTTCGCAACTTGAATAATTGATATCGATTTGACAAAAAAATTTTTACATACATATTATCAATTGTTGTATTAATAAACATGTTTAACGTGTCAGACAATGTTTGCGATCATACTATACTAAAAGCAGGCTTACACTTACTACATTAGAAAAACATTGAATTAGCATAATTCATCTACTCATACAACGGATACATTATATCGCGTAAATTATTACCGCAGTAGATAATGACATTTGTAACAATGAGACTAAGCTATATAATCGCTTGCTGTGTTTCGCATAACATTAAATACCTGTAGTTGTATGATCGCACGATGCCTGAGCTTCACTCGATTATCCAGCTCGGATGATGACCTTATGCACAATGGACTCCCGCTGTCATGAAATGTTTGCTTTGTATAGTTGTTCAGAAAATCGAAGCGATTTAGTCAGGTCATACTGTTTGATTGATCGCTGTAAATAAAAGAAAATCGTTCACTGATTACGTATTTTCCGTTTATGTTTGTTTAAAGTATGTTTAAATTTAACTTATATATGAAACAATAATACGTTAATAGGTTAAGCCGAATATTTATGTCTTAAAACTTATTTGATAAACAATATATCTTTTAAATAAAATGTATTATATACATATATACGTTTTAACATTATTCAGATGTATGAGAGAGGTAGGAAGCGTAATGCGTAAACATTTATAGTAAACGTCGGCCCGTCAGAGCTTGACGTTAGGTGATGTGAGTTAACCGAAAATCAATTGTCTGCAATCTATGGTATGCCACATGGGTATGCCACGTCACACACATAAATTCCATTGCTGGACGCCCCGAAGCGCGATAATTTCCCGAGGTTGCATGGCGGGGCTTTTAAACGCCAAACCTCATTTGTAGGAATTCTGCCTTGTTTTATTATTTAATTTCGACCTTTGAACTCGAATACATTACCAGCTCAAAAATCTACCCATCTTTGAAATCGAATTCTATTTTATATATTTTCGGTTTTTGTAAAATTCCGATAATATAGCAATTAAAGTAAAATGTGATCTGTTAAAAAGAAAGACTATATCGGTGCATCATGAACTCTGAAACTATTCAAGCAAATATTTCGATATTGATTTTTCACATATTCTTTTTACCAATTTTTTATTATTTTGTACCTACAAACTTGCAAAATACATTAGCAGTGATGTTTCATAATTTTCTGAAGCAACGGAATCGTTTCTTAATCCTTTTTGAGACTATTCTTACTCCAAAAAATCAGAGTACTTAATAAATGTTTATACATTTCATCTTGACCTAAAACATTATTAAATTTATTTATGTTATAACAAACATGAAGTAAAATATATTCAATTTTCAGTCATAATATGAGAACTTAATTTTTTATTCGGGAACTAAGAATAATTCCTCAGCCCTTCTCACTGCCGTTTACATTTAATATAGCGAGAGGGCAATTACATACTAACGTTTCCGTCATTTTAGGTTCCTAAATGTCGTCCCCGGGCAGACGTTCCAGTAAGACTTTAGTTACCTCATTACTCAAGTAATGAGCCATTATCTTACTTAATAAATATAGTGTTAAAGAAATGAATTTCGTCAAGTTATTTTATATTCTAAGTTAAACAATATAACACTTATAAATAAATTTTTAATCAAGTACAAACATAAGCAATTACGATTTCCTCGTCTTATTATAAACTTAACATTATATTTAGTACAAAAATTGGCTAAACATCACTGATATAATATATAATATTGCAATTTGCATATCGTCAACGATATTAAATAAAATAATTATGGCTGAAAGTTTGAACAGTTATTACAATTCAGGGGAGCGAACGTGAGCAAAGGCTAAATAATATAGTGAGTAAGTTTAATAAGCTAACAAGCAACAGAACTGATGATAATTAAAGGCACGTTGTCATGCATATCATGCAAACAATGAGGTAGACTTTAGAATATACACCACAATGCAAAATTTAATTAAATGTAAATTTATCGTCAAGAGAAACTGCTTTTCTGTATGATTACGAGCAAATGTTTATTGTAGGTATGTGATGTGAAGTTTTGAGTACTTTAATCACTTTGTTAAATGTTACATCATAATTTTTGTTACATATATTTATACAATATTAATATATTCACTGGTACATATACGTTACACTAAAATTAATAACGAGAGTAAATTTTGTGATAGTTGGCAGATGATAACTGCCTAAAGAGTCCTGACGAACTTGCCAGTCACAAGAAAGGATTAAAGAAGAATACACCATAGTTAAATCTAGACTGTTTGGTTTCCAAATATGAGCATTCCATTGTACAATATTTAAAATTTGGTGGTTGAATGTGACGATTTGCTATTTTTATCCTTGATGGTTTCTTAAATAGCTGAGCTAATAAATTGTGAACTAATACTGATATTTTCAGTTTTATTTAAAGTTACAACTTTTACTATAGATTTTGTTAATAGAGTCATTGCTTCAGAATTTGATAGTATCGCTTGGATTACTTTTTGAGTATTTAATTTTTTATTAAGGGAGGGAAAATTTAATGAATCTTTTAACGTGTCAGCATATGACTTGGGTTTACTGTTTGTGATTTTCTTTTGCCTTATAGGGCACTTTCTAGAGAGTGCGATATGATTGCCATTACAATTAATGCTCTTAGCTTTTTCAATGTTAACCCTGCATTCTTTGAAAGAATGCCCTCTGTGCATATGGAGCATCGCGGTGTATTTTTAAAAAACTTAGCCAGATGACCATAGCGTAAACATTTAAAACACTGTTTTATAGGTGGGACATATGTGGAGACAGGGAGGCGCCACAACTTAATGTGAACATAGTCCAGCAGTAACGTAGCAGACGCAGAAGTTATTACTACGCTCTGAGTAGGTTGCAGTGTGAAGGTGTTATTTTCTCTTTTACTTTACTCATTATATTATTGCCGGATATTTTATATTATATATTATTGCCCGGAGCAATGGTCTCCCCAGTCACCGGACTTTGACTCATGCGAACAGGAGTGGGCCTTGGAGGTTTAGTGGGTAGTGGCCGAACGCCTTTAGGTCGAGCCCCACACACCCCCGTGTCACAAATTTGCCCAGGCACGGGAAGTCCGTAAACGGATTCCATCAAAGTAAAAAAAAAAGGTGTGCCGGGACGCGCGGGATCAGGGCGTAACATTTAGATAATAATATATTACCTCTGTTGAATACTCGCTCAGTGCAGCCTTCAGCGTCTAAAGGTTAACACCACAAGCATCTTGTTTATTTAATCAAAATGTACTCAAAACGAACACGATAAAATACACAACAGTGACTAAAAAATAATTTGTAATATTATGTTTTTAATAAGCGGTTGGACTAGGCAAATATAAGATAAGACATATTTCTATTAAATACGTCATAGATATACATAACTATTTATAATATGAAATTAGTATAAAACAAAGGCATTTTAATTTAGCAAAAACCAACATTATATTTACCAAACATATCTTATTTTATTAACATCAAACATAATCGTCATCAGCCTATCAGCGCCCACTGCTGAGCAAAGCCTCTTTCTCACATAGAGAAGGTTTGAGCATTAATCACCACGCTTGCTCAAGACGGGTTGGTGATTTCAAACTTATAATTGTGAAACTATAAGTCCAGGTTTCCTCACGATGTTTTCCTTCACCGTATGTCAGTGGTGTCTAAATACTCTCAGAAAGTACATATGACTCCGAAAAATTACATAATAACTTATTATATTTTCTCTTAAAGATATAACTCATAAAAACTATACGAAATATGCAAAAAAAGGCAGTTAAGGTGACATCCTATGGAAAAAAAAACGGAAAAACAATGGAGTTGAGCGCGGAAGTCAAGGTCATGTGATCAGCAGGCGCTGCCATGATACTTGCCTATTGCAATCGAGCCGCAAATAAACAGGTACCTATATAATATGTAAAATTTTTATAATTAATTCCTTTTGCTATATTATTATTGAAATCAAATACTTACATTATGATTTTGTCAAAATTAATGTAGAATATACATATGTACATATGTGATTATAAATATAATTCGAATATAAATAGCTAAACAAAATTCTAACGGATTAAATGAGTAAAAATTAAGAACGTCAAATAGTTATACATAATAATTAATACATATTAAGTTTAAGATTTTTTTTTTGTGTATCTATTAAATATAATTTATATTTATATCGAAAATTTCCTATCGATTTCAGGTCACGAAAAGGAGGAGGCAAGTCATTCTAGCACTTGGTGAATGGTGGCGCAGAACCTGAAACTTCCTCGGAACGCCGCCGTTTTATGGATTGGCATATTACTTGTATATCATATTTGTATGTAAATATAATATCTACTGTCTGGCCGCTATGTATGACACTGTTGCAAAAATATACGATAATATATTTATAATTAATAAAAATACACTTAACATTACAATAATACAAAAGTATCAAAGAAATTAGAGGATACCTACACGTTTTTAGAAGCTATTTTTATAAAATAAACAATTAGTAAGTCAAAAATATTCTTCTTACTCCTAATCTGAAATTAACAGCTCAAACCTGTGTTTTTACAAAAACTTTCGGGATGTCATGTTGTGATCGTAGCCTATGAGCAGCAGTTTCCTTATTCAGCCGGGCATAGATCCGGCCCTTGCGAGTCCATATATAACGCCATCCATTGCGGCGGCCCACCTCTCGTGCATTGTAATAAAGAGTACGATTTGTTCTAGTGAGGCGCTCATTGATGTAAAACCGTTTAGGCTCGTTATCTATATCTAAGCCCGATGTATCAGCCCCACGGCGCACGCGTCGCCCGCAGTAGTTCATCGTGCGGCGCGCTAGTCGTACTACTATAGGGCGTGATCGTGACAGTTCGCTGGTTTCATTGTAATGTGGTCGCGGTCCTGCGCGTTCTACCAAAACAATGTCGCGCTCTTCTAATGTGATGCCAATCTTACGCGCAATGAGGCCTACTACGTGCTGCAGATTCTCCCCATTCCGTTCAGTAATGCCTGAGATCTCAATGTCGTTCAATAGACATGACTTCTCGCGCTCGTTGAGGTCCGTCTTCAGGTTGGCAATGTCTTCCAATAAGTGACTCTCAGGCACGGACGGTGTTTTATTTTCAAGTTGAGACAGTCGCGCTTCGACATTGTCGACTCGCTTGCATACCTCGGATAACGTACCTTTCAATGATGCAAGCTCCTGACGGAACTAGGATACTTCCCGCGTCAAAGCGACCAGTTCGACCCGAAGGAGCTTGATATGTTCTAAAAGTGAACTAACGACTCCTGGATCTTCCGTGGCTGAAAGTAACGACGAATGTTCGGTGTTGTTTGCCCCTTTTTGTTTTATGCAGTGAACACTTAATTGGCTGTGAAAAATCAGATGTTGAATCAAGTCCTTAATTAGTCGCGATTTAATTAAATAACTTTGATGTAATTTTTTGATGTTCTTCAACATCTCTTTTTACGAGGCGTCCAACCGGCCTTGGCGGCGCCGGAATGGATGTGTGAGACTCGACCTAGGCAGGCCCCTACAGCCCATCTCGGGCACACCTCGAGGGTGTGCTAGGCCGAGTCCACCGCAGCGCCGCACTCATGGCAGCTCTCTCCTGACCGTCCGACATAAGTATAATAACCGAAGCACCCGTGCCCGGTGAAGACCTGCGTCAGACGTCAGAATAATGGCACGACGACAACAACAACGACAATAAACAACAAAAAATCCATTTGCATCAAAACACTTATTGTATAAATTTTATCTAACAAGTAATTAAAGTTTTTTTTTAGTATGTATTCGGGTAATCAAATATTATTGATTATCCTAGCAGGAAAAGGCATGAATATTCACTATGAGAAGAATGAAAACCAGTTGTTTTTATAAAGGCTTGCTGGCTTGAGATTCTGTTAAATGGAGTAAGGTCGAGTGTTTTGTTTTTTCTGTCACTTACGATTTTATTAAGCTAACTCTAAATCTTGTAATCACATATTATATGTATTTGTTTGTCGTAAATACAACATACGAGGTTATCAATAGTTTTGGATATTGTTAATAAACCTGCCATCTATTAATTAATTTACGAACTTTGTATGAAACTTTAATACGAAATGATGTATATACTTTGCCATTGTTGAATAGAGGGCGTTTGGATCAAGTTACATTCCTTTTTGTTTGTGTTTAATTTTTCTTATAAATAACAGAAAATTTCAAATAATATATTGTATTATAGATTGATAAACCTGTATTACTGAAACTTTTAAGTTGAATAAATAATCATCTCAATAAGTATTTTTATTTCACTCGTTTCATAATGTTTAAAATGATTTCGTGTGCACAAGTCAGTAATACAAAAATTAATGTGAAATTATATACATATTTTTTTAGAAATGATGCAATTACTGATCCTGATGGAGCATTTAACAAGCAATTTTTTTAAATTAAACAAGTTAAAAGAAATTATTTTGAAATAATTTCCTTGGGGTTTTAAATATGTGGAATATATGAAAATGACAAGCAGAAAATATTGATTGAATACAATTAATTGACCATGCACCCTCATAAGGTTATTTTATAGTATACTGTTGATTTCAAAAGTTATCTTCTCCATTTTAAAATAAATATTCATAACTAAAAAGTTATTCTGCTATTCGCCGTTTGCAAGACCCCAGTGCCATCTAACGAGAAAACTTACGGCGGCTCTTTTGAGAAAACAGTCCTGTAATGGATGTCAAATTATTATTAAAAAACTTTATAGGTTAAGATGTCTGTCAAGATGTTCATTGTAAAATTAATATAAAAATCATTACCAATATTAAAAAACCACTTAAAAATAATATATAACATAACAAATAGCTCTATTTAAAGTAATTATATTTTTAACGAATGTATCTTAAATTTTAATTTCTTTTGTTTAATTTTGCAGATAAAAAATTGAATTGCTGTTAAGAACGGGTTTTCAGTCCTTCACACATAATATTATTTTTCAACCACAGACTCTGATAAAGGGTAAATTTAGTTTCGGCTGAAGACGTGAGAGGTGTATAGTAATTAGTAATAACAACTGATAGTAATTATAACCGTCGTAGAAAGAGGTGTCAAGTACTTTGGTGGAATGATAAATGTTCAAAAGTAGTAGAAGACTGCAAGAACGCATACATTAATTTCAAAATTAGTTTTAATAGTAAAAATTACTTCTTAAATATTTTTTTAATTTTAATGCCGTGGCTATGTCTTTATTTAAAATATTTTTTTTTACAACTCTTGTTTTTTTACATTCTGTCTTTTATCAAGTCTTTGTAAGTTTGTAATGTCATTTATAAATTATAGTACAATTCATTTGTCAATGTCAATTTGTCGTGCATAGCTCGCATAGAGCGCGGGATATCTTCAGCAGTTTTAAAAATATTTAAAAGTTGGTCTACAAGGACCATCCTTTGAATACTTAACTGTGAACAATCAAAAAATATGTATATCAGCACTATTGCAATATCTACAAGTTGAAGAGTCAAAAACACCAATCCTATAAAGGTGAGCACTAAAACTACCAGGCGCAAACGTGAAACGACAGATTGTGGTATAATATTTTTGTAAGGCTATAGTCGCTACCCCGGGTAAACCACGGTGAAGAGACCTTTTTCTTTAATGTATCTAATTCTAACCAGTTTCCTGTTACCTTTACCACCTGATCCCATAAGTTGTAAAATTCTTCCTGTAACGTGAGTTTGAAAAGAGATAGAGCGTCTGAAGAAGGAATTGCGAAAATTAAAAAGCTATGACTTAATTGATTGTGGGCCGGATTTGTAATAAATTTAGCTAAATAGTCAATTGCTCATTAGTCATTACCATGCTGACCAATGTGGGCTGGTGTCCAGACTAGAACTTTTTGCTTGTTTTGAGACAGCAGGTGAAACAAGTCTCTTATTTTATATAAAATAAGAGTTTTTGATTTTAATTGTGGATTTTGTAGTGCTATTAATAAACTTAAACTGTCCATTATTATAAACCACTTTTGATCTGACTATCATAGACAGCTATAGAGACTGCTTTATTGTTCCTAGACTCATCTGTACACTTCTGATAATATCCCTGCCACCTATCAAGTTCCCTATAAATGTCTTCCTTATACTTTAGAAGATTTTTGGCTACAATTTTAATCTGAATAAATTTTGATTCATATAACCCAGAGTAACAAGGCCATACCAGGCTAGAAAAAATATTGTGTCTTATTAAAAATTTGTTCTGTTTCAGAAAAACCTTGAAACAAATATGAATTAATATTGGCAGTCTTGTTAATAGTGTCACACAGTTTAACAAGAAGTGGATGATTACTAATGGAGAGCAACCTTGTAAAAGTTTGATAGTAAGTATTTAAGCCAAAGTGCTAATGGAGGTATATTACATTCCACCTGCATTGACACTATGAGAGTAGTTTGCACGTCACCCATTATAGTACGCAAACATTTCTTTTGTATCTTTTCTAATTTTTCCACTATAGTTCTTACCCCTGCAAAACAAAAAAAGCATATCAAAATGACTCCTTACTAATGATTTATACAATGTTAATAAAATCCTTGGATCAGCACCCCAATATGTGCCTGTTGAAGATTTTAAAACATTATAAGCATTTAAAGCTCGAGGTTCTAGAGTTTCAGCATACTTATTTCATCTAGAATTGTTTGTAAAAATAACACCTAAAAACTTTACAGAGCTCTCTACAGACATTACATTATTATTGAACAAAATATTTACATTCCTATTTCTAATACCATTTTTCGAAAAGACAACAACTTTCCTTTTTTCATTGCTGACAGAGAGAGAGGAGAGGCCTAGGCTATCAAAATAGTTCTTTAGTCTTTGGAGAGCAACATTGAGGACTGATTGTACACCTAAAAAAATTGTATCAGAGCAATAAACAACGAAATCATCTGCAAACTGCAGATTAAAAACTTCACACCCCAGAATAGAATTTAGCTGATGTATGAATAGGATAAAAAGCTGTGAGCTCAATACACCACCTTGTTATACACTCCTACAAGAATATCTTGGACCAAATAACTGATTGTTAACCTTAACAAACACTTTTCTGTAGTTCAAAAAATTAAAAATCCAATTTACAACTTTTCAGGTACCCGTAGTAATAATAAAATTGAGGTTAATTTGTTCAGATCTACATTATTGAAAGCCCCTATAATGTCAAGAAAAACTCCAACTAGTACTTTATTCTCAGAACGAGCATTGTGGATATCCAGACAAATGATGTAGACTCTCACAAGGAGAACGGCCACAACAAAAGCCAAACTGATTGTAAGGTAAAAGATTGTTACTTTCTATGTGAAAAATTAATCTCTATTTTTATTAATTTTTCCAACACATGAACTAAGTGTAATGGGACGATAAGAATCAGCCAAATTAAAGTCTTAGCCAGGTTTTAATATTGGTACCAAACAGTTGGTTTTCCAATCCTCTGGGATAATAGAAGATAACCATAGATTATTTAACAAACTTAGCAAAATAGATAGAGTTTGAACATTTAAAAGTTTATACATTCTATAGGAAAGCCAATAAGGAATCTTATCTATTGTTGTTATATAAAAATGTTTGAACTCATTTGAGGTCAGAAAATAATTAGATCTCGGAAAGCTGTTTTTGAATTTTCTCATTTTAGTTCAAATGCCACTTATTGATGTCAAACGATTTATTGAGGAACAGAATTCGAACCAACTTTTACGACGTTCTTCTTTTAAAGTGGGTTTTTTAAAGGCTTGTGCGCTGCGCTGTGAAATTAATGTAATTTTTACCATTAAGACTAGTTTTGAAATTAATGTATGCGTTCTTGCAGTCTTCTACTACTTTTGAACATTTATCATTCCACCAAGGAACTTGACACCTCTTTCTACGACGGTTATTATTACTATCAGTTGTGTTATGGTTTAAACTGGGCCTGGAAAATTCGATTGCCAATAGAATAATTGCGCAAAACTTTCTATATGAGTCAAGCAGATCACTTTTGTCAACTTTAAAGTTCATTAACATTTTATTAACAATTTGTTCATAACTATCCCAATTTACTAATTTCAGATTGCTGTGAAAAGGAATGTTGTTCAAGGAAATAGAGGATTCATGTTGGTCTCTTACGACAGTAAATTTTCTGATAGTTGGCAGATGAGAACTCTTTAGTCCTGATGAACTTG